GAGTCTGGTATGCTTGTGTGTGGGTTTAAATGGGTTCTAATGGATCTGTGATCAGATAGGTGTAATGGAAGACGTCTGGATAAGCATGTAGTAAGTAATAACGATAGTAAACACACAGTCAAAAATTACATACACATTTACTACAAAAACCAAATGCACATTAATTACAAACAAGACGAATCTTCACTAAGACATATTATAAAGAAATACACTACCCCAATTGACCCGAATAAAAAAAAAAATCAAATTAATTATCTATTATAAAAAATTTAAGACAGCTAACCTTATCCTCAAAAATAACAACACACCAAGTCAAAATTACAAAGAACGAAAATAATCTAGGAGTTCAAATGCCCCTTAAGGAACTGTGTTCCTGATCAAACCGGACTCAAATGATTACATCGGTTACACAACTACATGAAAAGAAAAATTAAATAAAAAGCTTAACCGGAGTACCTTGTCTGTCGTTTTTAATGAAACATGCATAAACGAAGGATTGCTGCCTAAATATACAACTATCATATATATATATATATATATATATATATATATATATATATAAACAAACGTTTCATTGAATAATAGACATATTATGTCTATTTAAATAATAATCCTTTCTCGTTCTCTAACCAATTTCTTGACGTTAAGATGAAAATTCATCAAGGAAGACACAGTAGATTTTTCTTACCCAAGTAATTTTGATCTCCTCCTGTGTGTGAGAGCGAGTGAGTGAGAGCCAGCCAGAGCCATCAGATATTATCTAAGTAAAACTAAGTTAGCATTTGGTAACTGAAGGAAAGGTGTAATGTACCAATTTCTACTCTATCCCCCACCGAAGAGTGTTAGTGCTATTTTTATTTCTGATGGAAATAAAAATAGCACTGACGTAGCACTCGTAAATGTTCGAAGCAGAATTATGGGGAATAAACTGAACAGAGATCAGGTGAAAAAATTGTCCTTCTTAAACCAAACCAATCAGTTCTGAAATGTCAGGTGAGAGAACAAACCACACAGAAAAAAACAGAAGCAAAAATGATCAGTTTCAGTTTTTGCGAGGTGTAACCTTTGCTAGAACATACCAGTTGTGGTTGATGTTGTTTAGCGGCATATCAACCTCTATGGGTTATTTAATGTCAAAATCTAAATATTTTAAACACATTTTCATACCTTCAGCTACAGATATTTTGAAAACAATTTATGCCTTCAACTACAGATATTTTGTGCATAATTTTATACTTTCAAGGTAAACGTATGTTTTTTAGGTATATCGTTTGATAAAATGTATTGTTGGTAATTTTAAAAAATGCATTGCTGGTAATTTCACTATAAAAATGTATTTTTATACATTTCTAGTGTTTTGATTTTTGTTTAGGGATTCTCTATTTTCCTATAAATTGGACCCTAACAGGTGCTACCACGCCAAGTTAGAGTGAACCAGAGAAATACGTCAATTAAGAGATAGTTCCACGCTCCTCCAATTTCTTGCTGCCGGATGTAGTTTATCGTTATATCCAGAACTATAGCACATGCCAAGGTGTGTAGAGCAGCCATTTATTAACTGTTTCATATACCTATGTACATCTATAAGTCCGCAGTCTAATAATTAAAAAAGGTATCTATTGTACACAACAGATCTTTTTTCTGTAAAATCACCGACCTTGTAAATGCACTTAATTCAGTGGTAAACGTTACTCACATACATTCAACATTCTTCTTCTATGTGTTGTGTTCCTTCAGGAAGTGGGCGAGCATGACTCTTCACAATCTCTTAACTCTTGTAGTCCTGAGCAACGTTTGCCGATTTACCAAGCCTTTCTCCCTGTCCCGCTATCCATTACACAGAAGCTTATCAAGTAGATGATCCGCTGCCTTCCCCTGTCCCTTGACATGTCTTGTCAGTCACATTCGCCAAGCCCTCTTCTTCATTATATATCCAAGAAATTTAATCTATCTCTATCCGATTCTGAAGTTTTCTTTTTTGTTTTAATTTCTCTTAAGAATTATTCGTTGATTACGCGACCCGTCCATGAAATTCTCAGTATCCTTCTGCAGAACACAATTTCTGTTGCCTCCAGATTCCTTGGCATCTGCTAGATTTTCCAGCATTCACTACCGTACAAGAGGACTGATATTACATAAGAGTTCAGCAGTATTTTCATAGTTTCTAACGAAATCAACATTATACAGCTGAAGTTTCAGAGAAAAATTCAGCTAATAACTCCATTTCAGACTATAGACTTATTGATCTACCCTCATTAATTATGTAGTAATGGTAATATTAGTGTTGTAATGTTGTCTTTGTTCAAAATAGCTGAGGCCGAAGTTAGAGTATCAAAGGAACAAAAGACTAGATAGAGGAAACAAAGAAGAGTTTTATTAAATACTCATAACTAGAACGGAAATACTTGTGTAAATGAAATACTACTCAAAATCCTACTCTAATGTGGCTACTTGGCATATTTATAATTATGATCAGTCTATTGTCACAGTAGTAGGGAAGAGCAGCAAGTACGCTGAGTCCTACTATACAACAATTAACAGTTTCCTTATAAATAAAAATTCGGCATTTACTGACTGAGCAGTCAGTGTTGCAGGTCGGTTGAAATTTATAAAATATTTCTATTAAAACAATTTTTCAGGAAAATTCATTTCTAAAGTCCAGTGGGTACTAATGCTCTTTCCAGTATTGATTGGGGTTTCCTTCGTTGCCTTTTGTTTGAGGTAGCGTGGAACGTCAACATTTTGATTATATCTCTTTGAATTGATTATTCTCTCTTTGAATTACATGTACCGTCCATTTTAGTTGTTGCAGCTGTTGAAAGACCTTATGCGATGTGGTTTCTGTTATTTGGTACAGTTCTTTGTTTGTAATACTGTAACAAAAGTTCATGAGGTTCGAGGAAGGATGGTTCTTGCTGAGGCCTGCATGATTCACTTGCTCGTAGCCATTTTGTTGTGGACGAGTCTTTGATCAACTTAACAGAAAGACCTAAGTATAAGAGAACCAATATTATTTATGAATTCATATATACCTTAAGGAACTGAGTTCCTGATCAAACTAAATTCATAACTGGACATACCACTACATACCTATTAAGAAGACACGCGTTACATGTCTTTAACCATAGGGACTCATTTAAACACAGGGAAACGTACCGGTGCTGCTATAGCGTGAGGTCTACCTCGATATATCGTGCCCGTTCTCTCACGTGGCCATTAGGTCAGGTGAAGTCTAACATGGATATTTATATCTGTCTCACATTTTCTAAACACTTGAAACGGGAGGTAGACCTCACACTATGGTAGCACCAACGTACCAAACTATTTATGTAACATACTTATATAAAAATACAATTATAATAGCCTCATCCACATGTTAAAAAGACTAAAAATAATAAAAGCACTAATAATAAAAATGAAAAATCTAACATTCAATAATCTCAACTATGAACCCAGCCACAATGTGCTAACCGTGTTTAGAAAATAATTAAAAAATTCTCATCACTCTAGAAACATATAAAAAAAAATACACATTCAGTTAAAAATTTAAAAAAAAAGTCCTTGATAATGGCTAATAGAATAGCCGAAAACACTCGAATATATAGAACATTTGGACAATTTTTACTCTGGTATATATATATATATATATATATTGCACAGAGACATGTATGGGGTACATGGTGAGACTGAAATTATTAAACAATTACAATGATGTCCGAAACTGGCTCGCTGGCCGTTATCTTAATGACGAGGTGACATTTCACACAAGTGCGTCGCACCTCGTGGGGATCCAATTTTCTATAGTAGTAACGGTTTATCAGGTTCTTGTGCTATTATCATCATCATTATTATTAGGTTAGTTATAATGATCTATTAAGTTATGTGCTAAATATTACACTACAGAAAAATGTTCTATATTTCTCTTCCTATTTCACACACACAAACATATATATATATATATATATATATATATATATATATATTTATTAATACTGTCTAACAGTCAAAAGGTCTTCTTAAATTATAAATTATTAATAAATCATCTACATGTAAATGAATATTTTGCAATCATTTTTTTTCAAGAATGATAGGTTAACCCTACAAGTGTTATTTATGTAGCTAAACTTCATAGTCTGTTGCGAGGATTTCAAATTTAAAGGAAAAATTAGCTGACCTACAAAAAATGTACAAATCTTATACTAAGTTATTTAGTTTAAGGTGTCCTTTGACTTTTGCACGCTATATATATATATATATATATATATATATATATAAAATAGTAAAGGTAATCGATCCATTGGTATACAATCCAGATGGATCCTAGTACTATTAATTATTAAAACTGATCCACAGAGAGCTCGATGTTTTTTTTTTTAACAGAGCATATGTATTTTTTTTATCTTTATTTTTTTACCTGAACATAGACATAGCCTATTTTAAGCAGTTCTGTATAACGACTATCATCAGTCTCTAAGTGTCTGTCTCGGAACATTGTTTTAAATTTATTTTCAATGTGTCTCGTAGACGCCTTGTTAATGAGAGTGGGGTTGTGCTAGACGTAATGTATCTTATCCCGGGGGGGAAGCGGTCTGGGGTTGGAGTTTATTTATGGCAAGGATATGTAGTTTGTGGTTTAATATCAGTTCCTACTATGTGTAGTGTATCTTATAAAAAGCCCTGGAGTGTCTTTTTCTGGCATTCACAGATGGTAGCCATATACAGAACGGCTTGAAATAGACTATATTTATGTTGAGATAATTTTGTATATATATATATAAGAGAGAGAGAGAGAGAGAGAGAGAGAGAGAGAGAGAGAGAGAGAGAGAGAGAGAGAGAGAGAGAGAGAGAGAGAGAGAGAGAGAGAGAGAGAGAGAGAGAGAGTGTGTGTGTGTGTGTGTGTGTGTTTAATAAAGCTCCAAAGTTTGTCTAATTAATACATTGAATGCGCATAATTGTAAAGCCATTATTCTGATTAAAATTTTCTTCATTATCTTTATTAGCGATTTCCACTCATGACGAAGACGAAATTTACATCAATGAAGAGGTAAGTATAATTTTTCTTACTTCTGAACTTTTTTTTCACCCCCATTCGAAACGCCCAATTCAGGCTCACCAATCACGATATGAATATTTGATTACATACGGTCTCCATGGAAACAGCACAAACCAGATGTAAATATGCCTCTGCTATAGAACCTGAGAAGAATCCTACCAGGTTTTTTTATTTAGTATAAATTAACTTATGAATTTAAAGATAAGTTAAATTAAAACTGATAAAATTTGAGGACGAATTAAATTTGAAAAGATTAAAAGTAGTTTCTGCTGGTTCAGGAAGGTATTTTAGTCTAACTTCAAGAAAATAGGCATTATCATTATACAACGGTTTCAGACTTGCCTCTGTCATTTTGGTAATTTTTACCGTCTGGGAAAATATGTCGTAACAGACGATAGAATATGTGTTACAGAAGGTCGAGAACGCATGGGAATAACAAAGGATCATCTTTGTTACTTTAACGTCATACTTATGAATACGAGACATATTGGACAAAAATTAAAATGAATTAATAGATAGGCCTAATTAAATGGATAGGCCTAAAGTGGAAAAACGCACAGTTCCAGTTTTACAATGGAGGAAAAAACGCACACATGTGTCCAGTTTTACAATGGAGTGGAAAAACGCACACATGTGTCCAGTTTTACAATGGAGTGGAAAAAACGCACACATGTGTCCAGTTTTACAATGGAGTGGAAAAAACGCACACATGTGTCCAGTTTTACAATGGAGTGGAAAAAACGCACACATGTGTCCAGTTTTACAATGGAGTGGAAAAAACGCACACATGTGTCCAGTTTTACAATGGAGGGAAAAACGCACACATGTGTCACAATGGAGTGGAAAAAAAACACACATGTGTCCAGTTTTAATGGAATAAAAAACGACACATGTGTCCAAAAACGCACACATGTGTCCAGTTTTACAATGGAGTAAATAAATAAAAAAACGCACACACGTGTCAGTTTATAAATAAATAAAAAAAAAGATATGGGTTCGGTTTTACAATATAGTCAAAAAAGAAAGTTTATATGATATTAGATCAGCACTGGAACAAAGCATCAGGACTATATGATATGCTTAAAGCATATATTATAGATATGCTTAAAGCTCTAGACCAACATTTCTAAACGTTGGTACCCTTGCGTGACCCTTAAAATAAATTACATGTATCAAGTAACCCCTGCGCAAAAACAAAATCATATACCATATCTTTCTCATTTTCTGTAAAAAAAAAAAAAAAAAAAAAAAAAAAAGTAACTTTAAATACAGGCCCCATTCACTGAGTGGGCACTGACTAGTAAAAGTGGTTTCACATTGGCGCCGTACAGACATCACTAAATATATCCCCCAATGATTGTTATATTTTTTAATAACATAATAGGTTAGACAGGGTGATCTCTATATTACAATATTACAATAACCAAGAATAAATTGTGTGACTTTAGTAATATTACGTATATGAAATTAAATAAAAAGTCAAAAGTGGATTAGCTTATATCACCTGTTCTCGCGGAACCCTTGGGAACCTTTTGCAGAACCTTAGAGTTCCGAGGAACCCCGGTTGAGAAACGCTGCTCTAGACGATTTTGAGATTGATAAAATTACTGTAGTAATAACTGAAATTACTGTCAGCGGCAACGTACTCGAAGACCTCTGTAGATCAATCTTCATAAAGATTTCAAAGAAAATCAGTAAGAACCAATTCGGATTCCATCGAATTAGACTTAAAATGAAGCATGAACAATGCGTCGTCGTTTTAAATTTCCAAGCAATAAAGATGCAGAAATATTAATACCTGTGGTAACGGTGATGTTAACCGCTTCTTCATAGGAGACATTCGGCATTCATTGATCAAGCAGCCAGTTCTGCTGTCAGTTGACATTTATAAAATCTTTCACTTAAAATATTTTTTCGGGCAAATATATTTCTTAATTCCACTAACTTATTCTTTTTAGCAATGACGAGGGTTTCCTTCCTAACTGTTTGTTTAAGGTAGTGTGAAAATTCAACATCTTGATTATGTCATTTTTTTCTCTTCGTGTTATATGTGCTATCCATTTTAGTTGTTGCTGCTGTTGGAAGTATTCCACTTTTGCCTTTTTTTGTTCTATATGGTAGCTTTATGGTTTTGTGACGCTCGTCTGTGAGATCTGATAAAGTGTCGTCTTCTTTAAGACCTAAGGGATTCATTCTCTTGAAGCCATTTTAAATCACTGATCCGAGAAAACGGTTGTATACAACTGGCAGTTGAGATATTTCTGAATGGGTTGGACGCCATGCATGGCATCCACATGAGAGTCTAGATCAGGCGAAACTATTTAATAACATAGTTTTCTAGATTTGATAAAACAAAATGGATAAAGTGCGACATGAAGTACTTGAAATCTTTAAATAAAATGATCTACAAGGAAAAGATATTAAAAGTTTGTATACTGAGAGAGAACGAGTTCAGTGAAGGTACAAAAAGAAAATGATGTACTACACATGGATGTGCTTTCCTGTTGGATTTATTTAACCTGTACAACGGGATGATTCTAAGAGGACTCGAAGACTTTCCAGCATTTATTATCAGAGACGTAACCTTAACATATGCTATACACACGACACAAAGACTTAACTTTAAGAAGTCAGAAAGCATGGTCGTCAACAAAAGGGACACCCCAACGTGTGAGTTACAGAGTGGGGACGTCAAAATGAAGCAAATGCAAAAATGTAAGTATCTGGGTAGTATAAATATAGACAATAGTATGACACGGCGCACATGAATAGCAAAAGACGCTTTTCAGAAACGGAGGTAGAGTATTCAGAGATCTAAAAATATTCTTAGAAAAAAAAAAAAAAGAGTGCTGAACAGCTATGTGATATCTAATCTCCTATATAGCAGTGACTGTTGGGCAATTTCTTCGCAGATGAAGATTTGTAGCGACGAATGCTGAGAATATCGTGGACAGAGCATGCAAAAGACGGGGACGTTTCAAGAAGAATAGAAACTAACAATAAACTGCAATCATAAAGAGACAGCGGGATATTTGATAGCATAATGGGAAAAGAAGGCTTACAAAATGTAATACCCACAAGGAACATTGAAGGGGAAAAAAATCAGAAAAACAACGAGTAAACTACTAGACATATTTGACTAAATGAATGACAGAACAAGTACCCTATAAATAAAAATTGGTTGTAAAGGAGGAAGAATTACTGATTTTTTTCCATTGTCTCAGCCTTCAATTAGTAGGAAAAAAAACATTAAAAATAAGCTTTATACACGTCTCATAGCTGTTTTTTTTTTTACTTGTATATCCAATTTTCCGTTATGAAAATTGGAGAATCCTAACAGGTTAGCCAAAAACGCTCGCACCTACTGATGATTTTAAACAGTTTTTAGACACTATGTCCAGAAAAGAAATCACTTGTACGAAAGCAAGAAAAACTATTATGCAAGAATAATTAAAAGCTTAATCCAAGTGACTAGTCAGTAGTCATCGTTGAAACTATAAAGAGGAAATTGAAGTCAACAGCCAGAGGCAACAGTCTGTTTCATGTAATCGTCAGATCATGGCGTTTAAGCATAAAACAGATTGTCGCCTCTGGGTGTTTACATCAATGTATACTTTTATACTTACGCTCTATCCCTGATATTGAGCACTTTAAGCCATAAATATAGCATACCTTAAAACTAATTTATATATAATATATATAATATAATATATATATATATATATATATATATATATATATATAATATATATATATAATATATATATATATATATATATATATATAATATATATATATATAATATATATATATATATAGAGAGAGAGAGAGCTGTCTCTCCCCACCCCTACAAAGGGGCACGCTGGTTCGATCCCTGCCAGATGATACATTTTTCTTTTTAAAAATGGGGCGTGTACTTCAAATAAAAAGTGTTCACGATAGTAACGTTTGAAGTAATAGAGGTTAAACTTTAGACGCTCTTCTACGAGTTTTCCGCGACTGCTAGTTGCTTGTGTGAGCCACAACTTTCAGTCGGTTGAGAGAAAAATAATTCTGTATTTGTATTGTATTTTTATATTTTACATTGAATGCAGTGCTTCTTAAACGTCGGCGTCTTTGAGGCAAATTTTATTATTGTATTTAATGTATATATCCTTTTTACAACTTATTAGATTAGACATTGAAAGATATAATGTAAGCGTAACGTGCATATCCAGGAAGGAACGAAAAAAAGGAACCCGATTTTTATGATAACTCTAAAACAGTTATCAAATTCGATAGAGACTACGTTTTATACATATATATTGTATGTATTTAGGCAACAATTTTTCATTGATGCATGTTTCATTAAATAATATAGACAAGTTTTGTCTATTTATTTTAAGTAAGTTCCTTTCATATTGCCTGATAAGCTTATTGAAAGGCGAAAAGAAATCACCATATTGATAGATGTTTAAATCCAATCTAAGCTTTCGGCTTACATAAGCCATTATCAAAGATGACAATTACATTTCAATATATCAAACAATACACGGACGAAACAATAATGATTGTTTTTGTTGCATATATATATATATATATATATATATATATATATATATATATATTCACGTACGTAGACAAGAAACTAGGTCACATCGGGTGAAACTTTATATGACTTCTATTGACAAATTTGGTTCCATCTAATTTGTCTGAAAGATAGACCTGCTATTCATCTCGAGGTTCTAGACAGAAACCAGTGAAGGGTGTAATCGATCCTTACTTGGCATCTGAACTTCAGTCACTTTCTCATCGACGCGGCGTAGCTACTCTCTGTCTTTTCTACAAATATTTTATGACAACTGCTCTGACGACCCCCCCCGTTTCCCCGACTACATGAATTTAAGCGCTCTACTAGATTGGCATCTAAGTCTCACCCACTTTACTGTTGAAATAGTTAAATGCAACCGCCACTTCTACTCCAACAGTTTATTTTCTCACGCTTCCCGCCT